CAAGAGTAGAGGAAAAGATAACCAATAAAGGAACCAGGAGCTTAGAGCTGATTACCCCAGCTCTAGCCTGTATCATAAGAGTAGGTTCTTGCAGATAACTGACAATCCCAGTTATAAGTCAAGGCACTCTAGCAAGGGAGGAAACCCTTGCCCTTGAGACTTCAGAAGTCTCATAAACCTTTTTTTAAGAGGTCAACTAGCTGTAGTCTGTACTTGTTGGTACCAGTACAGACTTTCTTGTTGTTCACTTTAAGCCTGAAGCCCAATCCAGCTTCAGATCCTGCTTGAAATAGCCAGGTGGGCTGCCATACAGAAGCATCCCCCTGACATATTGTGTGGCAAGGTAGGTGAATGAGATAGAAACAAGTATCTATAAAAAGGTAGTACATGTAAGAATGAACAGGAGGGGGTTTGATGAGCTGACTATTCTTGTGATCTGGGGGGAGCCTGTTCTGCCATAATGGAGGTTGTGGTTTTGAGAAAGGAAGATGGGCAAGGTTAGATTAACATGTTCAGGTGGATAAATGTGAATGCTTAGAACATGGGTACTGTTGAGCTTGGATTTACCTATTGATAAGTAATGATATATGGATAAGACACTAGTCTATCCTCTACACCTTGCCCTAATCAAAAAGTGTGCTGACCTAAAAAGGAGACATGAAATGGGATGTGATTAGTTTGGTGGTGGAATGAATAATGAGCTGTCTATTGCTCTTGATCTATGGACTAAAAGTGATCTATGCACATATCTATAGGAGTGAAACAGTGTAGGGGATAAACATGTTTGAGTGCTAAGTTTATAGGATATGTGTTGATGATTAAGGTTTTAGAGAAAGAAATAGAGATCAGAGAAAAAAGAAGGGAAAGGGTTGGGTGTTTTACTCACAGTCTCTTTCCACAGATGGGGAAAAGAGACTGAGAGTGTGAGAGTTTTTTGTGGTTATATGGAACTTTGAGTAGGCTATAGGGATATGCTAATGTTGTCACTTCCTGTATTTTTCCAATGGACTTCAATATAGGTGATATAAAAGGAGAAAAAAGGTTTTGTGCTTACATCTCTTTTGGCAGATAAGGAAAGAGATGTGGATGTGAGATGTGTGAAAGTTTATAAGGATGAGAATTTGTATAGGGATATAAGGCTATGTCACTAGGATGGTAAGGGGGCTCACTGCCAACATATTTTCATTGCATGGAAGCTTGCTATGTAACATAGCATGCTTTCATGTGATACTATGGCCCATTTTTCAAGGTCCCTACCTTGGAAAATAGACCTATTGCATCGCATCTTGGCCTGCTATGTGATGTGAAAACTCAGTTACGCACGTTCTGTTAGACTAGAAGTATAAGATGCTAATACCAAATAGCCTCCAGCGCTATCTTTCTTTCTTCCAGCAAATCCATGATTTACTCTTTCCCTAAGCTCAACTATAGCAGGGAAAGAGTACGTCAC